GTGTGTGTGTGTGTGTGTGTGTGTGTGTGTGTGTGTGTGTGTGTGTGCGTGTGTGTGTGTGTGTGTGTGTGGACTTAAACCAGATTGTTGTTGTCCTTTGTAACAACATAGCCACTTCACGTTTCTATGTTTTGAGTGAAAAGGAGTGAGGAATAGCCAGGGACAACTCCTCAAACACCGAGGAACCAGGTTGTAAAGTATGCGGGTCTCTGGCGCGCCACAGGATATTATCATGTACATTTTGAGTCCCTAATTTAATTTAGCGGCTTGCCTTCATTTTCAACACATGAACCCCCAAAAGTGAAAAAAAAGAGTCATGACAGTTTTTAAACCTGTTTACTGTGGCTTCTGTATTCCTAAAAAGCACACATTCTAAATTGTATATTGTCTTTTATTTTATAAAATAGGCTCTCAAAAAATATAATTCCGAACGAGTGGAATTGAAAAAAATATATATTTTGGTCACCGCCTCTTGAACCGCTCATCATTTTTTCAGCTCAGAGAAAAAAGAAAAGCCTCGGACTCTAACCTCTACTTTCCTTTGCTGTCCACTCCTGACACAGCCATGTGGCTCACGAGAGGGGGCTGTTCATGTTTTAACAGTTCTATTTTGATTTGATTCTTATGTCACCCACCTCCCGAGTCAACGGGAGGTATTCTGTAGATCTCGATTTAATACCTTAACGACTGAAGCCCAAGAAGTCAGTAGATTTTGATCTGCACCAGATGGCTCCGAGTGGATATTGCCGAGCGCCGAGGATCTGTTAAAAATATCTGAGGGGCACTGATGGTAATCTGGGTAACACATCAGAAAGGAAGGGGAGGAATGGCAATTGTGATAACCTGCTGGGAATGTGTGCAGGGGGCTAAATATGATGGTTGGGGTGGAGGGGGGACTGGGAGTATGGAGACCGAAAATCTCTCTAAGTAAAGACATTATAGAAATAGGAGAACCCGGAATAGACTTAATTATTATATTGGTAATTAAAAATGATATTAACAATTTAATTATCTGATTTCTACAACACACTGGATAAAAGTTTTTTTTTCTCCGAAGAAAATGTTTGAAAAATACAAATTTGACTCCTGGTAAAAAATGGCATGTGTTAAGGGCAATAAACCATCACCGTTAACTGATTTATTGGGTCTTGTTAAACTCTCATTACCACCACAAGCTCCTCAGCTTCGACAGACAGAGAGAGAGAGAGAGGGAGAGAGTGAGAGGGAGAGAGAGAGGGAGAGAGAGAGGGGGAGAGAGGGAAAACTTTGTTCCGGATCCTCCCGCCGTACATCCCACAACACGTTCACTCCGAATGTATTTCCACGAAACAGACGGGATTTCCGTGGCTTTATGACGCACAAGAGCGTGCGCGCACACACGTGCACACGCACACGTACACATCAACACAAGTTAACCATTTTTGAATACTCACTCCCTTTGAAAAAAGAAAGAAAGAAAATCCTCAGGCTGCTCATATTAGAGAGTTGTATCATGTACATCTACAGGAGGCTGTTCATAAGCTGCTATGCCTTAATGGACACATTCCAATAAGTCACTCAGGTGGTGGATACCTTCTTCTTTTTTTAACAGCCTGTGTTCCACGTTTTATATTTCCCGTCACCTATTACATCTTAAGTTTTTATATTCTTGGTACCTCTGCAAAAAAAAGAAATAATGTGTTAATATTGTGTATGCTACTGATGTGTGTGATGTAAAATGTAAAATGGTTTGTAAGCGCAGCTTCATCCACCCAAACTGCCAGCCACAAAACTACAAGAAAGAAATCAGAGAAGCTCCGCTCTCTCTCTGATAAATAGTTTGAACATCCGATGCTAATGACCAGAAATAGTATATGAGGATAGACACCTAGCTTATTACTCATGTCTAAGCTCTAATAAAATTGGGTATACCTACTGTGCATTTCATTCAATACATTCTCCAGGTTATCAATGAATGAAAACACAAACACTTCAGGTATTTCATTCAGGGAAAAATTGATAGCCCATACCAACGAGGAAAGTGAACGTTTATTTTTTCTCAAGAATGTACATCTTGAATATGTAACCAAATGCAAATTTCCTGTTTTGCAGCACAAGCCATAACCTTAGTCTTATTATATCTCTTTTTCTAAAATCTATATTTTCTTTATATCAAGATAATATATGAAAATATGACCCACAAAATGTAATTTACAAAAGCCTGTTGTACTTTGACAAGAGTGTTTATAGCATTTATGTTTTTTATAAAAACAAAGAAGTTAGCATGGCTTCCATGTCAATGTTGTCTTATAATTTAGCCTTATTCAGTTTAATTGGAATGTACGTATATATGCTTGAACCCAAGTTTCTTGAAACTAGGCCAACACATAGACCTGAATTATCCAATAGAAGTCAAAGAGAGTGAACCTGTTTTACAATAACAGCAGTTATGTTGACAGTTGGCTACCACCGCAGAGGTCAAGGGTGTCTCTGTGAACTAATAACTGTGGTGAAAGATACTCCTTTCCTGCCTCTGGGAGTGCCAAAGTTGAGGAAAGGTTAAGAATCTGCAGAATGTCCCATTTGTGCTTTTCTTGCAGATTATCAAATTAAGTGTTGAAACCAAAACTCCCTTTCCCCCTGAAGAAAGGAGATTAGATGGATATCAATGATATCAATGGACCATCACAATTGTTAGACCTCTTCCCTTTAACATCGCACACAAACATGTACGCTCACGCATGGCTCCAAACCTACTCCCTCAACTGCATCAGAGCAACTCAACTATTTAGCTGAGGGTTAAAGTCAGAGGACCACTGGTGTTACTGTGAGACATTTGATACACAGAGAACTGCACCACACCTATTGGTAAGGAAACTAGGAATTTCCTGGATGATAAAAGAGGTCTATTCTGGGTCTTAGAAGGTCAAGACGTTATGCATTTGACAGCTAAACACTTGGAGGGGTGGTGTTCCCCAGTGTTGAAGTGACAAAGAGCTTCTGAGCTCAACTTGTTGCCAAAATAAAAGGTGCTTTGCAGCAGTTGGATGTGCTGTACGGCTTCTCAAATACGCTTAGTCCTCCAACAGGTACTTGGAAATAAATAATGTGACCTAAAATTATATTATTATACTATTTATAACATTACCAAGTCTGCTTGGGCCCATAGAGGATGTTTGTCTCTGTGTTCCTTACTCAGTGTATGATGCCCAAAACATAACTGAACTTATGCAATTTTACCAATTTATCTAAATTTCTGGATATATTTAAAGGAAATGAACACCACATTTTTTTTTAATCGCTTGTTTTCAATCTATATCTTACAAACGAGAAACCCTGTCTTTTAAAATTTACGTTTATATACTATTAATTTGTTTTGGCAATGACATTTTTTTATAAGTAACATACTTTGACATCAGAGATGAGGATTTGCATCTTAAATTCCACATGTTTAGATTGAGGCAACACAAGCTTATTAGTTAATGAAAGGTCGTGGTTTCAGTTAAATGTGAACATGTCCTGTCTCGTGCTTCACTATTGTCTCTTTAATTATCAAACCAAGACGTCAATCTTTCCCTGACATTAGCCAAGTGCCACGATTGCCAAAAGATAACTATAAAAAAAGATGAATTATGCTTTTAGCGTTTATGAGAAGAGCTTGTGGAAAAACAACAACCGTTTTGCAGATACATGCAACATTTAATCACTTGGCAGATACATTTATTAACATGTCCTCATTAGGTTGATATAACAGCATAACATGGGATGCATTACATTTTGCTCAAGTTGTATTTTCTGTTGCAAATTAGAAGCGGCTAAACGGAGAAAGAGTTAAAAAAAAGTCCACGTTAGTTCATTTAAGGTAACTCCCACTCAGCATAGTACATTGCCCTGCACTGTAATTCGATAATGATGGACTACTGCAGCAAGAACACTACAACCACCACTGTAGCTGAACGTATAATGCATACATAAAACGA